TGTGAAGTTGATGAAAGCTGTATTTCTTCCTTTCAAAGTATTTGCATTCAAGTTTAAGGAATTTATAGACTTCCTAAAGCCCATCCACAACTCCTGTAGATTTATAGATGACAAATTAAAAAACACACAGTAAAACTGGGGAAAAACATCATTTAGAGGACAGAGGAAGAACCCATGGTTGAGAAAGAGTAAAAAGAAAAGGAGGAAGAATTCCAAAGGTAAGTTATTAAACTAACAGAAAAGTGTTTCAAGAATGGGAGGTAAATGCTGATGAGAGGACTAGAAAGATAAGGCCTAAAAAGTGTCCACTTGCCTTGGTAACAGCAGTGACCTACGGGAGGTACTTGTGAAGGGTTAGCGCTCTCTCAGGAGGAGGCAAAAACTGGAGTGAGGAAGAAACACTGGATGCAGGTGTGGGTGAGTATAAACATTTGTCGGTATTCCCTCTTGATCATAAGCATCCCCCTCCCCCCACCCCTTCCTGGTGAAATAGGAGGTAAGGTGATCATGGTCAGAGGAGAAGTCTTGCAAGGATGGGGGTTTTGAGGATGGAGGAGATTAGAAATAGTCTTTGTGGAAAGTAGAGTTATAATGTACTGGGGAAGCTGTTACCTATTTGTTATCTGTTACTGGGAAGGTTGTGATCATGGGTTGGGGCTTACAGAGTGAGCAGGATCAGAGGAGGAAAAGGCTGGACCCAGCATGTACAGCAGCCCAGCCCAGAATCATCATTTGCGGAGAATCAATAAGCCTTCCAGAACATCTCAGGGCTTGCTCTACTCCCTCTCTCCTTTTCTGGTTTCTGGCTTCTCCTCCTTTTCTGGCTCAGGTTTTTCCAGCAGCCTATAAACATGCTCAAGCCTTTCCCAGTGACTCAGTATGTCCTCCCATCTGTGTCCAAATTCTCTTCATTCCATACTCAAAACATCTGTAGCAGGGGAATTTTTGAAAATAGTCACTTGCTCTTTTTCTCCCTATAGGTTTCCCTTGCCAGGGTGTGTTGCCTTACTCTGGGGATTTCGGCTGCCTCTTGAAGTTTGGGGCTCTCCATGGTCCTTTAGAATCCTGAGTGCATTGACAGATTGATGCTGGATGCTTTGGTCATATACATGCAGCCAGAAGCCAGGGGGATCTCTGCTGGATTTTAAATAGGAGTGCATTTTATTTATTTATTTTTTTAAAATATATTTTATTGATTTTTTACAGAGAGGAAGGGAGAGGGATAGAGAGAGTTAGAAACATCCATGCACACCCCCTACTGGGGATATGCCCGCAACCAAGGTACATGCCCTTGACCGGAATCGAACCTGGGACCCTTCAGTCCACAGGCTGACGCTCTATCCCCTGAGCCAAACCAGCCAGGGCAATAGGAGTGCATTTTAGACAGTTCATTCTGGAGGCTGATTGGAGAATGCGTTTGTCTGAAAGAGACTGTTAGGAGGCTGCTGCAACAGTTCAGGATGGAAAGGATGGCTGGAACACATACCAGTGAGAATGGAGGTAGGGAGTCAGTGCTAACTAGGGAGGTGGGATAGATAGGACTGGGTGATCGGATAAGTCAAAGGGCTGAATCAAGAATGACTCACTCATTTCCAGCTTTCTAATTCTGATGACTGTAGATGGTGGCACCCGCAGACTGTAATGCCTTCAGCTGAGGGAGGGGCAGCTATGGAGGTAGAGGATGAGTTCAGTTTTGGATATGCTGAGTTGGAAGAGGTCTGGCATGGAGATCGTTGATTTGGTAGTTGAAACCATGAGGGTGGAGGTTATTCCCTGAGATTGGAGTGAGAAGAGCTGTGGGCATAAAGGGGAGTCTTGCCTTTAAAGTGCATTCACAATTGGTGTCACTTAAGGGTGCCACCAAAGGAGGAAGAGGCCTTAGTTGCTGAGAGGAGGCCAGATCAACAAGAGCTGAGAAATGAGGAAATGGGGCAGCCAGGGTAGACCACTGATTCAGAGGTCTGCAAGAACGAGAGAAACACTTGGAAGCCAACTGGAGAGGCACTTCGATTGGAGGGTTGGCTTGATAGTTTTGTTTTTAGGACTGGAGAGATTTGAGAGGAAACAGCCAGCAGCCAAGGAGCTGGGAGAGGTGGAGGAGTAGGCTTTAGGGCAGTGATGGCGAACCTTTTGAGCTCGGCGTGTCAGCATTTTGAAAAACCCTAACTTAACTCTGGTGCCGTGTCACATATAGAAATTTTTTGATATTTGCAACCATAGTGAAACAAAGACTTATATTTTTGATATTTATTTTATATATTTAAATGCCATTTAACAAAGAAAAATCAACCCCAAAAAATGAGTTCGCGTGTCACCTCTGACACGCATGTCATAGGTTCGCCATCACTGCTTTAGGGCTCAACTTCTTACAGTTTGTCCAACACTTCCACATTCCTATCTCATTTAATTATATGAACACCTGTGAGATTGAAACAAAGAAACAAACGGTGAGACTGAGACCCGGTGTTGGGAAGAGAGATGTGGATCTATTCCAGCTCAGTGCTCTGTCCATGCCACCACGCCTTGTGCAAGAACGCTGTTCAGCTCTGCACAATCTAGGGGGCCAGGAGCAGCGTTTTCCTGGCTCCTGGTGTGGTGATATCCGTGCTGTTGGACTCTGGGGGCGGCGCGCTGCCCCAGGTAAGGTATCCCTAAGTGTCCCGGACCAGGCACGGCAGACCTCAGGAGTATTGCCATGTGCTGTGACCCAGAGCTGAATGCTCCCTGTCTCCCGGGAAATGTTCCAGGTGGGTGGACCAGGGGCTTCTCCATGCGTTCCTTCCCTTTCTTTCTTTCTTTCTTTCTTTCTTTCTTTCTTTAAAAAAAAATATATATATTTTATTGGTTTTTTACAGAGAGGAAGGGAGAGGGATAGAGTTAGAAACATCAATGAGAGAGAAACATCGATCAGCTGCCTCCTGCACACCCCCTATTGGGGATGTGCCCACAACCAAGGTACATGCCCTTGACCGGAATCGAACCTGGGACCCTTCAGTCCACAAGCCCATGCTCTATCCACTGAGCCAAACCGGCTAGGGCTCCCTTCCCTTTCTTATGCTAAAGCAACTAAGAATTCTGTTAACTGCAAGGTGGAATAACAATAACACTGTTAGTGGGCATCAAGGGTGCGGGCCAGGTAGATTCAGAGCAGAAAGATGGCCAGAGCCGGGGCAGCAGGTGGCGGAGCACGCGCTCGCGTCGCAGAAGGGCCGCTGAGAAAACCAACCTCGGGATTTGTGTATCCGGCCGGGGCCCTGCCCGGAGATAAATCTTCTGCGGAGGGAAGTAGTTAATATGCGTCCAGCACTGTCGGAAGAAACTCCTTCCCGCCGGAGACGGTTTAGTGGGCGCGTGGGAGCTTTCACTTGGGACGCCTCCCAGTTCTCCGCCCGAGGCAAGCAGGGCGTGCCCAGCCGGTTGTCACATGCGAATTATAGTAGTTTTTTGTTTGTTTCTGGAGCGTATGGGGTGCTGTTAAGGAATGAAAGATACCTGGGTTGGGAGCTAGGATCTGGTTTCCCCTCCATCAATGTAGCACATGCTTCCTCCCTGACCTTGGCTCCGGGCAAGTCAAGTGAGGCCCCTCCCTGGGCCTCAGTTTCCCTGTTCCTAAAGCGAGGAGTTGGACTATGATCTTCCTTTTGCACGGCCAGGTGGCAAATTCCACCTCCTCTCGCCCCCAACCCCGGCCCCCCAAAACCCATTCTTTATTAGTAACCGCCCCCCCCAACACCCAGCTCTACGCTTTCTTTTCCTCTCCCGCTTGGGGGGTTCTAAAAAGGCGAGGGGTGGGCGGGGCCTTCCGCACCGCCCCTCCCACCGCCGTTGGCCCCGCCCCTCCCGTCGTCCCCTCTGCGCCCCTCCGCCCTCGGCGCTGGGTTGAGGCAACCACGTGACCTCACATCCGGCGCGGGAGTCCCGAGCTCGCCGCGCGCGCTCCCCCGCCCGCCCTCCCGCCCGCCGGCTTCCCCGCAGCGTGATCCGAGCGCCGCCGCCGAGGGGAGGGGGGATCGCTACGTCGCTGGCGGCGGGAGGCCGTTGTCAAGAGCTGACCGCCCCCCTCCCCTGCCGGTCTCCCCCTGCCAGGGTACCCTCCCTTGTTCTCGCTCAGCCCCGGCTGAACGCCGCCGCCGCGGGCGCGAGTAGGACAGCGCGGACGTCCCTAAGCCCGACTCGGCCGGATGCGCCGCGGCGCCTCTTCCCATTCCCAATCCGTGCGCTCGTCGATTTTGTCCGGTCCTACAAGTCGATGACCAGCGCCCCTCCAGCCTGACCTATGCGACGGTGTTAATTTGCATCAAATTTTATCCGTC